CCCCCCCCCGTCCTCCCGCGGAGCCCATCCCCTGCCAGACGTAGCCTGGCGGCGTCAGCAGCACTCATCAGGAGACGACTAACGGCAGGAGAGACAAACATTAACTTTCTACGCTTTCTACTCTAGCCGGGTGGGACCTTGGCCTAACAGCCAAGCACCCCATCCCCCGGCCCCCTAGACCTTGCCAAGCTGCTAGTATTGTAGTAAAGAGGAAACTTTTAGGTACACACGTACGGCTGCTCTGGCTGTCTCTGCCAGAAATGTGTAAGCGACTACCCCAACTACGCTGGATGGACAGGGCCGAAAACGCTTGCTTGTTTGTTGTTGTTTTTTGTGTGTGGTTCTTTGGATAGCTCCAACCTATGTGGAAAAGAGGAGAACGCGTCGTTGTCTGACTTGATGTACCAGGTGGCTGATGAACCCCGTGCACTTCTGGAGTTATGGCTGCACCGCACGCACGCGGGCGGGTCGTCGCGGGCTGGTCTATCGCCTTTGTCCACGACGCCCTCCCTAAGGGTCGTCCTTAAAGTACATCCGTTTCTCTCGTGTTCTTTCGGCAACTGACGGGAGCTGGGCGCCTGTGAAGTCCAGGGTAGGCCACCCAGCAGCACACGCATGCGCTGACGTTTAAGATGTTGCCTACCTAGCAGGCGCTCTGAGAGCTTTCCACGGCTGACATGAACCCACCGCAGCCCCTGTGGGACAGGTTCGTTTCGGAGAATGACGGACGTACTTTCCGCGAATGACCCCTTAAGGGCCGAGGGAGTAGGCAACCCGCCCGCGCGTGGGAATGCCGTGCCGCATAGCTACAGAAGTGAGCGGGGTTTATCGGCCGCCACAGAGGGCTCCGTAACTTATTAGTTAACAGCCTTTAACGTTATTTTAAGAGTTACAGTTATAACTTGTAACTTTTTATGAAGACTTTTTAAAATAAGTTAGTTATTCGACCTGTCCAACTTTTCTCCACAGTATCTACGATTAATATCGGCCGTGTATTTGAAAATCCATAACTTTAACTTTTACTTAGTGACTTGTTACGTTGGCGGTAACTAATATTCGTTCGTGTTATGACAGAGCCCTGTCTGCCACCAGGTATATCAAGTGCAATGAAAGATGTCACTATACGAGCCTGGTCGCAACAACGTTTCCCCTGTGTCCGCGTGTTCCTTCTCTCACCCTCGCCAAACTACTAGGAGTGCCGCCCATCATCGGCTCAGCAGTCGCCAATACGCCCATCATTGCCTGTGTCGCTAAATAACCTCTCTGTTACGGCTCCGCACATAAAGTGGTTGACTTGGCCCCTTAATCCCTTCGCGCCCATTTCTTAGTTGCGTGCCGCGGCCAGTCGGACGGATGTTGAATGGAGCTGGAGGACCGCGGCCCGCCGCCTCAAGTTTCCACAATGACGCCATGCGCGCTGCGCGCCGCGCCCGGGCTGGGCCCTAACTTTTCGATTATTAGACGAGGCAAGCCTGACAGCCCAACTTCTTTTCCCCTCACCCACCCACCAACCCACCCTCCAGCTGCAGCCAAGCCAGTTGGTAACAAAAGGCTCCGGAGGGAATGACGCGACAGCGACGCGACAGCTAAGGCAAGGCCCCAAAGTGCGGCGTGTATTGTCCCTCTTCATCATCGAATCAGTTCAATCCGACAGCCAGTAAAGTGACGAGCAAGGAGACGCGTCTCCGGGCGGGGAAGAGAAGTTTTATTGCCTGTCACCTACTGTGCCACAAACAACACTGGCTCTTGAAATGACACGCATTGTCTCCCTCTGCCCCCCCCCCCTCTGTTTTCGTAATCTGTTCTAGTACTCACGTGGATGCAGAAGGCATGCTCGGTGGAAATATCCAAATGTCACAATGGACCCCTCCTCCGCACCAGAACGGCGCCACCGACACCAGACACTGCTTCACATCGCGCCCGCCGCCGCCGGCCTCGCTGGCCCGGGCCGAGGCGCGCGCCCTCGTGGACGCTCGCGGGAGGGGCTGTGATGTCGCGTACGCGCCGCCACGCGCCGCGTCCTCGTCCTGATCGCCCGGCTGATCGCGGCTGATGGGTCCCTTCGCTCGTCTCGGCCGCCGCCGCCGCTCGCTTCCACACGCGTTCTGGCCCATCGCATCGCCCCTCCTGGACCAGCGCGTGGGGGGTGGGGGTGCAGCATCCCTCCCCCACCACCGCGGCCCCACCCTCCCACCGGCGCGCTCCAGGCGGGGGCTGCAAACTGTTCAAGGGCTCGCGAACCCGCCCCAACTGTGGAGCTGGTGCGACGCGAACATCCCTCCTCTCGTACGTCAGGGTGCGTGCGTGTACGTGGGACGTGCCCGGCGGAGAGTAGGGCAGGCCGCCGGCTCCACACGGCTGCTCGGCGGGTCGGCCTGTCCAGTGCGCTGCAGGCGCTACCAGTGGCAATACCGAGCAGAAACACCCGGCGTGGGTCACACCCTCTGTGGCGGATGAGGCAATAGCGAGACGGTAAATCCGGAACGCGTTCAAAGTCACCTCGCTTCACTTCGCCTCGGGAGACCCACAGCCAACGTCTGGCAGAAGTGAAGTGAAGGGAAGCTCGCCCATCGGACTGAATGCAAGTGCAAGACACTATCACTAAAAAAATACGCCCATGAGAAACGCCTACGCGTAATATTTCGCCTAAACATCTTAAGCCGTTAATGGAGAAGTTTAAGAATGCACAAGAAGTTTCAAGAAGAACTTTAAAATTTTAAAGTACGTCACGTCTGCTGTAAAAAAAAGTTCTGTCAAATGCTATCTTCTTTCATGGATAGAAGCAGAAAACATGTGGAGGTCAGCAAGGGGACAGACTCGGGGACAGGCCAGTGCTCGTAATGGGGAATGACAACACCAGAGTCTTATTTTCAGTCATGTTTTAATAAATTTCAATTTGTCGTAACAGATGCAGCCATCTACATAACACAACTGGCTGCTCCCCCGCACACGTCAAATAATTCATAAATCAATTTCATTGATGATTTTAAAACTATTGTGATGACATCACAAAAACGATCACATTGTTATCCTTGGTTGGTTTCTAGTATTAGGACATTAAATATAATAAATAAAACTCAATCTTTAGTCTCTTGGTGAAATTAAAACAAAATTATATAATTTGAGCTAATCTATCTAAATTAAAAACAAAATTTTCTAGAGCATAACATAAATAATAATTATTTAGTATGTAAACTTAAACATAGAGAAGGAAACACTATATTTATGGACTGTGATTTAGGAAATGATTACATAGTACAGAACTTCTCACCAAAAGTTACATAGAAATTTTCTTCCTATTGTGAGAGGTTACATGTGAAGTATGAATATGGGACTGAAGTTAGATGTGAGTGAAACTAATGTTAGTAGTTTAACGTGAAAAACTTTAGTCACAAAGTCATGATAAAATTTCATTTCTGTGTTGTGCTTGAAACTCTCTGAATCCATCAATAAAATTATATTGCTGAAACAAGAAGAAAGTATTTAGAGCATATCACTCCAGATCTCATAGTCAAATGATCCTTGACCATATACTTTTACCTGCATTGTTTGAAAAGCTCCATTTCCAATGAGTTCTCGGATCTTAAAAATGGCATGGGCTGGTGTAACATTTTCCTCTAGCTCCATGTAGAAAGCAGCCATGAGAACACTTACACGACCCAAAAGACTTTGAGCACTGTCAGAATAAAACAATCTTAAAATTTGGCCACTATTCATAACGTTTTAAATTAGTTTTTGTTTGGTAGATACAAAATTTACAGTTGGAGAGCTACTCACTGGATATACACTTTGTTTCCATCAAGCAATGTATCCCAAAGATCCACTAGTATTTTGTGTATTTCTTTGAAATCGGGCGAAAGATCTGGCTCAATGGGGTAATGATGAACTCTGATTCCTTTGCCACGATATACATCAAACAGTTCTCGTACACGAAAAAAGGACAGCTCCCCTTGTTTGCATAGACAAAATACGTCTCTAATTCCATTGTCAGTCAACACCTCTGTAATCAAGTCCCAAAATATACTCATTCATTCGATCACATTTAATTCCTAGACTTTGCAGCATGAATCACACAAATACAAACTTATATCCTGTTCAACATTTCTCCATGTGGATTTGAATTTCATGCCGGGCATGACACCAATGGCAACAGACTCCGGTTCTACAACATGTGAGCAGTCAAACCTGAAGAAGAAGAAACAAGATTTACAGAAAATGTTGAATGAAATAGATTTTCGACATTCAAGAATACATAACCTGTTTTCAAGTCTTTTCTACTTCCATACCATGTGATAGGGAACGAACGAATAGTTGACTGATTGTTGTCACTCATTATTTAATAATTAATTTCAAAGTCAAAGGACTTTTCGACACCAAAATGTGTCGAAACGTTCCGCCCCCGAGTCTGGGTCAAGATCGTCAGGATGCGTCAGGATGTCAACAAACTTTGGCAGCCGACGCAGCGTCGTCTGACCGGTCACCACTGCCAATAATGGATTTCAACGAACACATTGCCAACATGCTGACATAAAAAAAGAAAAATATTTCCCAGCCCTTATGCTCTATTTTTTGTTTCCAGAGGATATGTAAATGGGTTCAAATATCCTGGCCTTTAATTGTTTGAATCTCAATGAACATGACATTCGGCATTTCATTCATTCGAGTGTCTTTGTCGTGTATGAGAAATCAGCGAGGGGAAGTGGGGTGGGGGAGCAGAGAGAGAGAGGGGAGGGGAAGGGAATTTGTAATGGCGATCATTTCTGGCGGGAGTTGTCTGTTTTCACATTTTGGGGCTCTTTTAATTATCTGCTCTTAATAAATATGCGGGAACGCGAAGATAGAAGAAAGGGGAGAGACGAATCGGTTGGAGACAATGAAGAAACAGAAACTCCAATCACTGTATCGTCCCGCCTGAGGGCGAGGAAAGTGAGTTTTCTCGGTATACATACCTTGAGAGGTTATGCCCAATTGTTATTAGTGTCAGATTTTACTTTTGTTGTCTAAAGTATTGGCTTACATTATTACAACCTAACTTCACTATTCTATATCTGTTGTTACACTTTGAGGATTTTACACTTAAGTGTGGTATTAGTCTTTGCACCTCAGGAGTTCAATTTTTATTTGTCTGTTTACATTCAACCCTGTCTCCTTTATTTATTTATTTAGCCCTTAGGTTCTATCTTTCATTTGTGTCACTACATCTTTTCGAAAATTATTAAATCAAATTTTTATTTTCATGTATAGCAAGTATCATATGTCCAAAATGAACCAGAAATTGAGAGTGACAATGATGATACGGACAAAGATACTAAAGATGACGAATGGAAAGCAGATGAAGCAGAAAGTCCTAGTAGAACACGGAGGAAGCTTCCTGTCAAGAGGCCACCTTCTGTGTCGTCAACTTCAGTTGATGCATCGTCTGACGAAGATGATGATTACATGAAAATGCGACAGAATAATATCAAAGAGCGACTAGAACTTGTGAAGTATGCTGTGAACTGAAATAGTGAACTGACATGATTATTCAATCTTCATTGTACTAGTATGAATTATATTTTTCTCTTTGTCTTAGATCTCTGGGGATAGTAGAATTGAAAGAAGAGCTAGGAGGTCCTTCCAAGAAAAAAACAAACCAGAAAAAGTTAGTTTTTTTGTTCCTGTTTGTGAGAATACCACTGAGTCTGTATTTAACCAAGTTATATATTTTCTAATAGGAAACCCCCAACACCTAGAGAAAAATCTAAGAGGCTTAAGACTATTGTGGACGATAAGATTGCACGAGAAGCAAGAAGAAAGTTGGGTAAACCATCACCTAAGAAATCAAGATCGGACATTGTCCATAGTACATTAGAAAATCTTCGTGTTACAATTGCTAAAGCTACATCTCGTAAACCATCAGGTAATATTCATGTCATCTGGTTGTGAAATTTGTGACAGTTCTAGTTCCAATCTGGTGTACTGATTTTTTCTTTTGTGGAATTTTATTTTCAGGCCCACTTCCTATGCTTTCTTTAAAAACCTCCAGAGAGGAGAACACTGAGGATGACCCTGATGATGCAGCCTCCAAATGTGCTGACTTTGTTAGTTTGCTGAGGCCCTTCCTTGTGCACAGGGGAGATGAGTCCCAACTCAGCACTTGCAGTCTTGATACGTATGTTACTTTTATTTGTTGATAATGCGCTATTTAAGTTCTACTGTATTTTAATGTTTTACTATTCTAATCTTTTTAGATTTAAAAAGATTGTTTCAAGATTATCAATAACTGAAGAAATGATAGCCAAGACAAACACAGCCCGAATCACCTCAATGGCCTTTCACCCAGGCGAAGAAAAAGTTCTTGTTGCATCTGGCAGTACAAGTGGAGACCTTGGTAATTACTTTAAATCAAATGGTTTTACTTTTAAGATATTTTTTAGAGCTTCTGACCTTTTTTTTTTTTTGTCTTCCAGGACTTTGGGACGTGTATAATCCTGACGAAGAAAAGTGTGTTGAAGTTTTGGGACCTCATACAAGTCAAGTGAACTGCACCTCTTTTGACCGCTGCAATCCCGCTAAAATCATCACAACAAGTTTGGATGGGACTGTAAGAAGAGGTGACCTCCTGAAATTAGTTTTTGATGAGGTGTGTGATCAATGCTGGTTGTAGTTTATATGTCTTTGTTTATACGTCTTATAAACTATTGATGAACATTACTAAGTTGATCTTATATTTGTAGATATGGGCGCATGAACAGAATGGTCCCAATTTTCATGCTACATGGCATGATCAAGTTGATCCAAACACTTTGATGGTGGCTCATGGTAAGAGTCATTTGCCCTTCTTTTTTATTAAATCTTACAGATTTTATAAGCCACTTCTATGTTTCTAAACTGTGTTGTTTTTCTTATAGGAACTGGACGTGTGGTAGTTATTGATTGTCGCAAGCCAATGAGCCCTGTAGGTTGGTTTCATTGCCATGAACGTTCTGTTCGAACTGTTCAAAAACACCCTCAGGAGAACAAGTTTTTTGTCACATCATCGAGGCTTGGGTAAATAGATACACTCTAAACAAAACTGTTGCACCGTGGATTTTTCTTTACCTATTTAAAGGTAAAATTTAATCTTGCTTCCCTTTGCAGGCAAGTACGGATTTGGGACTGGCGCATGATGGACAAAGAGAAACCAGAACCCGTTTGGGATTTGGTACATCCTAAAGGTCTTTCTAGTGCTTTTTTTTCATGCAAAGGCAACTTACTGCTCACCACTTGTAATGATGATAGATTACGAGTGTATCATACTGCCCTTCTTCCTGGAGCATCCAAACCAAAAGGTAAATTATTTTGACTTTTCAGTAATACCAGAATTAGAAATGTCTATATTGACATATGCACTCTGCCTGCATACTTAATTTTTAATTACCCCTTCCATGGATCCAAAGGGTAGCATACCTAAAGAATAATTGCTCAAAACAACTGCACTAAGCAGTGCATGATTTAGGTATTACTAGTATCACCAACCTCATATGTAATTTTTGATTATTTTCTAGTTGTGACCAACATTAAACATGACAACCACACTGGTCCCTGGACCTCAGCTTTTAAGGCCATGTGGCACCCCCAAAGAGAAGATGTCTTCATGGTTGGGAGCATGGAAAAAAACCCAAGAAAGGTTTGTTTTCTAAATTTTTTGTATCATACAAATGTGAAATGGATTGAATATTTTTAAAATATTTTGATTATTAATATAAATATTTTTTGACAGCTACAAATTTATGGGATCCATGGCCAACCAGTTTACAACCTGACAAGTAATGAACACCTTCTTACAATCCCAGCTGTACATGCTTGGCACCCAACTCTCCCTCTCATTGCTGCTGGTAATGCATCTGGAAGAGTGCATGTTTTTCGATGAAGTTTCACCATGGTTCAAGCTTCCTGTAATTTGCATTTGCAACCTTGTACTTTAGTTTAACATTCTAGAATAAGGTAACATTCAGTTTTGTTCCATTGTGTATTTAGCTTCCAATGCCAATTTGTTTCCATTCAAAAAAATGATTTCCGGTTTTAATATTTGTAGGAAGCATTACTTATTACTTACCTATGCTTCTTGTGTAACTTCCCCATTGCCAGATTGTTTTCAATTATTATGCTAGTCACTTTCAGTGTTTGTGGTTGTTTGGATGAAGTATTTCCTCATTTGTGTAGGCTTTTAATATGCCTATCTCAGATTAAGTGATGAATAGTACAAATACTGTAGTAACTTATATGAATGATTTTTTTGTTATGACTTGAACTTGAAGCAATTGTTAGGCTTCCTACTCAAATTCTAAGGGACAGAGTATAGGAATATTGAGTGCAGACTGTCCCAGTGTCTTGTTTATTGTATTTTACTCTAACAGGACCTTTGTGTCTTGGACACTTTTTCTAAACTAATTTATGCTTTATCAATACTTTTTGTAATTCTTTGTGCTAAGTATGGCTTTTATTTTACTTTATTCAAAAGGCTGTTATTTTATAAGCATTGACTGTATTCTGGCTTTTAGTTTTATAAGGGGTGCCATATTTATTATTTGTAAATGCTTTTAATTTCATTCTTGGAGTACCATACCTTTCGCTTTGTGTTCCAGAACTCGTGAGCTCATACCATTTGGAGTTAAAAGTTATAGGTCTTTATTCTCAAATTATTCATTTTGTCAGTTGGGCAGGTCAACCTTTATTTCCTGTTGTCACAAGTAAGCAGCTCTAGCTGGTGAGGTGACTTCTGGTGTGTAAAGTAATGTAATTCAAGTTATTGTGTCAATGTCACTGAATGAGAATTAATGTGCTATTGTCACAATGAGCAATGAGGCCATTATCATGTGCATATTGTCATATTATTAAATGAGATAAAAAAAACACTTATACAGTTATTAAAATTTACATACATACTGTATAGTAACACAATAATAGAGAAACCAATGGATTACTTCCCCATCTTATGAATGACATACGTG